TTGTATCTTGTCCTGACTCCGTCATTAGCAAGCTTGGTCAAGGCTCTTAATCTCTCTGGGTTTATTTCCTTATCAATAAAATGAGCAAGTCAGACTGCATACTCATCAAGGTTTCTCGCAGATTTCAAATTCCATGCACACATTAGAGAGAATCAGAATTCAAAATGATTTGTCTAAAATACCATGTTAAAAAGTCTAGGATAAAATGCAATGGGAATGATGTACTATTTTGAGTTAAAAAATGACTTTTATAAATATAATAAGGAATGAACTTGGCTTCATTGTAATTTACGTAGAAATACTAAGGGGCTTTAGTTAACAATTTAAAAATGCTAATATAATCCAATTGAGCTATAGAGGGGATTTCAAAGTAGAAAAGCTCCAAATTCACAATTTAGAGTTGATACTTTTAAAGAAAGCATATCGCCAAAGCAAAAGCGTATTATTTTTTATAATTTTGGACCCAAACTAGTCATTTCATGTGAATCTCCTAATAAAGAACAAAGAAAATGAACAAAATAACAAATGGTTTGTATGTGTGACCTATTCTGGGTGACTTACTCTACATGTCAAAAATAGTCGATTTATATACGTGTACATATCTAGTTTGTAAAAAAACTGTGAATCTGGAGAACTTTGTTTTCACTTTCCCCCCTTTCCCTGCCCGTCTCTAGCAAGAATTCTTTTACCCAGGTCTGTAATCCTCTAGCACCTTGTTTGTCTACTTCTCCCCTAGACCTCTTATCAAACATGTTCTTAGAAAGTTATACCTTTTTTTTTTTGGCCATGGACTCCTTTAAAAATCAAATGAAAGTCATGGACGCACGCCACAGAAAAATCTACACACCCATGAATTTTGTATTTCAGGGAGTTACCCAACCCTCAGAAATTCAACCACTGGCAGAGGTGTGTAAACCTCAAGATAGAAAGACCTTTACTGAAGAGGTGAAAATGGATACCGGCTCGATCTCTTGCCCTTTCAAAACCTGTCTATCTTTTATGTAGACATAATTTCATAGCACTGTTTTCTTTTTGTTCTCTTGTTTATTTTCCAGTCTTCCTGAAGAGCAGGATGCTGTGAGAAAAGTTCTGGATTGGGAACCAGAAGAGTTGAGCAGCACTTGCCTTGATCCTTCCCAGGGATGACACTAAACTTATTTAACGACAGGTGTGGCACAGGTACCAACCATGCAGAACAGAAACTGCTCAGAGTTGGAGTAGGGTCCTGGACGCTCCCTGTTCAGTGGGCCAGGTATCTGTAATTAGGTCATGGGGAGGTCTGGGGGGATTCAGAGGCTATAGAAGGGAAATTCTTTGGGGAATTTGAGGGCAGTGGCTATTTACTAACCACTATAGAAGTGTTTTCTTTTGGGAATGATGGAAATGTTCTAAAACTGGATTGTGGTGATGGTTGCCCAACTGTATAAATTTACTCAAAATGACTAAAGTGTACACTTATAATGGGTGAAGTTTATGGCATGTAAATTATACCCTAATAAAGCTGTTTAAGAGAAGAGAAAGGCATTTCAATATTTTAACACAGCCGTACCAGTAGTCCTGGCTGACCTTGGGCCTGGCTCTCCCATTAATGGTATGAGACCTAAGGCTGGTCAGGCATCT